GTAAATCAAACTCTTATTTGTTAATAATTAACTTTTTTTTGGTTTTTCTAGCTAAACTTGTCCTTTATCTTGACGCATATGTTATCATTTATATGGGAAGAATTTAATGGAATGTGTCGAGCATTTCTTTTTCTTTCCGCTTGGGTTTATTATTATGATGTTTTTCTGTATAGAAGATGTTTTTGTTTTGTCGTTCACATGATAAAACATCAATATCTCGGTATAAAGATTACCAGCTGTCAAAACATCTATCATCAATAATATTTATCTTGGATAGAAACAAGAAAAAACTGTTTCGTAGAATCGATATAATTATATTGTAAATTATTTTTTCCCGTTGAATTGAAAACTTTTATAAACTAAATAAATAACGAATATGATATAGCATAATCAAAGAATGAATAATACTATATAACTAATAATTTTCTTAACGAAGAATACCCCGAAATATAAAGGACAATATTACATCTACTCACACTTATGCTATAGACATATATAAAAACAATCAATTATTTTACTAGCTAATTAATAAAGCACTTATTTCCCCCACAACAACATACATATTATATTAAGGCCCTTTTTAAGAAAGAGAGCAAAGGGAAAAAATGGATACGTATGTACCTAATGGTATTAAGAAATAAGAAGCATTAGTGCATTTCAGAACAGTATTATACCAAACAAATAATTTCAGAATACACTGTACGAGGTAGAATAACTCGAGATACTTGGTGTTGTGGTTCTAATAATGGCAACATAGTCAAATTTAATTGATGATAGGACCATACTGGGATTATTATTCATTATTAGTCAGGACATTCAAATAATGCCCAAAAAGGAGTGTACACCACGCGGCATAAATGTGATGAAATTTGATTCATTGTTGCACTGACAAAATTTATTTTATATAGGTATGGAGAAAAAAAATCGGTTGCATGTTTAGATTTTTTTTTATAATATAGTTTCTGACACGGTCAGAGTGAGTCTCTGTCTCTAGTGCGTTGACAAAATGAATGAATTCTGCTAAATATGAGATTTCTTTTTGTGAATATGCACACTATTCTCGGTTAGGGTGGAGGGACAAAGAGGAAACTCTATGTAAATCACCAGAACAAATGGTCTTAGGTCAATCCTTCTCGTTGTAGCCAATAAATTATTTGCTATTTGGTTAATATATCACTCAAAGATGGGGTAACTAGAATTAGGGGCCTGTTTATTTCATAAAAAGTTCATACTTAACTTAAAAGCACGTTGTCCTACTTGGTGTTGCATTGTACACACTCTCAGATGCACTTGGATCTATTTAGTCTCAAAAGTTGAAATAAAAAAATAAATAAAAAAAATAAAAAAAAAGGAAGATCAAAAAATACGCCGCAAACTAATAGTCGGCTTTTTATTCGTCTATTACGCTGATCTTATAAGTAACAAAGAAATTACACCATAGCCCCCTTAAGCATATGTTGTTGCATATAGTTGTATTGTAAAGATATGCCCCATAATTACATAAACCTCAATTCTAAATTAAGAGTATGGAGAGTATCACGGCTAAGCCCAATGTACTTCAGCCCACCAAGTACTAAATAGAACTTTTGATAATAATGACTAGTCCGGAAACTGAACCTATTATCCATTATTTATATAGAGTAGTTAAGCCCTGTATTAACCCACGTATAGAAAAGGAATGAGATATCACATCGTTGTAATAAACACATCATTGTCCAGAAGATCTTTTTTTTCAGTTCACTATTTAAGATATTATAACGAGCTCCTAAGGTATTTATTTACTATGTCTGTTTCTTCTACTATTGTTAAATTAACTAGATGTGACATTATATTATATTGACTATTGCGTTGATATAAAGTAATAAGACGACTATCTGCTAGTATATATATGTATCAAAACGCTAATGATAATATAAAGAGAATATGATAAGTTTATTAGCTACATATGAATAATAATATAATCTAGTTATGACCCTTAATAAACATAAAGTAATTCGACAAATTATTGCAAGTCAATGAAATGGCTAATTTAGCCAAGAGATTCTTTGATAGTTATGGAGAACATAAAAAAGTACGGCACTTTCATTGTCATTGTCTTTTCTATTTTTAAACGACGACTTGTGACCCTCTAAATTATACACCATGTATACTGTTAATTTTCTGATGATCTTTCTGTAAAACTCTATTCAGAATCATAGAGTACCAATATATATCTTCTATCGAATATAAATAAAAATACATACCAAAATAAATAATAAAGGCTACAATTCTTAGCAGCTGATGGTGAATGTTTGTATCATCTTTCTCTCGCTATACTTTTTTTGAAGGCAAGTATGAATAATGAGAGCTATATCATACGTACTTTAGAAAAAAGTTCTGTTATTATAATAATAATCTTTTCTCCTTATTTTTTTTTCAAGATAATTTATAACATATCTTTGTTACATTCCTACCACAATTAGTATAGGTTGTAACACTCGGATCCCAGCTTGATATGGATATAGATATACAGCATCTGTTTTTTTCTAACTGTAAGAAAGAACCCGTGCTCTTAGTAATAATAATAACATAGTAGCACCATACTATTTAAGAGTCTCTAACTAGCCTTGCGACCAATTTTACTGGTATTTGAGTAATTATTAGCATACGGATGAGGGACTCTGCTAGCAGTGTGGTTATTAGCTCCTTTCATATAAATTCTTAAACGGGTTTTAGAAGGAGACACTGCTCATTAAATATAACTAAGAGGTTATCAGCTAGCTTATACAATGTAGAAAAATATAATAATTTTCATAAATAAAAGGCTTCATAATTCTCGACATTTGACATAAGATCGCTCTCTCGCACTCAAAAAAAATCTAGATAATGTGAATAGTAAAGTAAAGAAGTCAAAGTTGGAAAAAACGGTTTTAAAGAAAGGAATTCGACACTAATACAGCTGTATAAAAACCCATGAAGTATGGCAAAATGAAAAAAAAGTTGAAGTAAACATAGTAGTGAGGAAAGAGAGACAATTTGTGTACCTGCGTCCCTAAAAAAGAATAAGCTAACTGGTGTTGTTTTGTCTTTGATTCAAATGAAAAAGTTCTTTCACGGGCAACAATAGCTTTATGTTGTGACAGTACAGTGGATCTGTGAACTATTTTGAGATGGTTTGTGTGGATCAAACTTTTCTGGACGGGTTAGGCTGCTTTACATTGTTCAAATATATTTGTTTACATAGCTTGATTACTCGACTTCTTAATTTGGCTAAAGGTAAAAGAAAAGAAAGGCCTTTTGTTCAAATTTGATATTAACCTTTCTGTCTTTCTTCACACCCTCCGCTTTTTTCTTTATTTCAGCAGTAGTAAAAATGCTCTTTGTTTTAAAATTCTCTACAGTGTCTTTATCCATTCACCTTTCTTACTAATAATTTGTAGATTTCGATATACTTACCTATATTACTAACATTCAACATTTTCTTTATCTATACTTTATACGGCCATATAATTTCAAGCCGCATAATACTTTTTTATGCTTTATAAAAATAATGGAAAGTTTCGTCATTTATTTATTTTTTAGTTTATTCATCTACTCTATCCCCATTATTTTTCTCTATTAACGGATCCTACACTTTAGTATGTTTACTTACATGTTGTTTAATCAACAACCCTCTTCTGCTTAGCTATTCTCATTTTACTTTATATACCTTTCGCTTATCTCAAGACCATGTGTCACTCTTCATACTCTAACACTCAGTATACTGACCATATTCAATTTGCTCATGTAGCTCATTTTATATGAACTTAATAATGCTTATATGTCTCCATTGTATTTTTCACTTAATTGCAGCTTCTACTATTGTAATTCTATTTAGTAAACAGTATTTGACTGTTTACTCTATTGTCGAGGAGAATATCTCCCCAAAGTCAAGGCTAATGATAAAAAACAATAATAGCAAGAAAATATCAATAAATATTCACTTCAATATATGTATAATTTTTATTTCTATATTTATCATTAAATTATGGGATCCTAACTCAGATATACGTATAGTTATGTTCTTCATATATCTATTAATATAAATATGTAACAATCTCTCATGTATATTAATAAGCTTACTTTTATTATTTACGGCGAGATGGTTGTAATTATGATGAACAAACGTCTGTTATGTTTACCGCTTTTCTATAGTGTGTTATGATAAAACATAATACTTAGATATTTAAATATGGCTCGTTTTTTTTGTAAAATAGTATATTTTTAGTTTGATCTTTTCTCTTGTAGTATTTTTATGCTATACGTATATTTATGTTTCTATGAATATATGCGTAAAGAGTAATTGGAATATACCAATTAAGATCAGCTATATAATAATAAAAATAAAGACTAGCAAGAAAGAATACCTTATTTAATCTTGCTATAAGAGTAAAAATTATATCCAAAAGATACTATAAGACAATAATAATAATGCTACTATTATATCTTCCCGCGTTTGAGCAGGCTACTACTAATAAAAAAACATGGTATATAATATTATAATAATAATAATATTTTTATGTCCAATAAAAAAATGTCGTATTTTTTATTAATAAAACCACGGAGAGAGAGCCACAAAGAGAATGTAAATACGACGGATAATGTAACCACGAAGACTAATATAACCACACAGGTAATTATAACCACACAGGAAAAGACCACAAAGGTAATAGATAAAATGTAGGGTAGATAAAAGATGTCTTTTTATTTAATAAAATAAACTTATATTTATATGTTTTCTAAACTACTGCGGATGATAATAATAATAATAAATAATAATGATATTGTTACTGCGGATGATGATGATAATAATAATAGTAATACTACTGCGGATGATAATGAATAAATAAAAAGAGAGCCGCAGTAAAAAAGCATAATCGGTATTAAAAATAACCGATCAATAATTACGACAAAAAAAGGCAAAATATTTTTTTAAAAAAATAAAAGTGTTCACAGCTTTTAAGTAAAGCTGCTGCAATTTCAGGGGGCACAGAGATTCGAACTCTGGACCAGAAGATCTGCAATCTTCCACTCTAGCCACTGAGTTATACCCCCGAAATTCTTATTTTGGAGGTATTTAAAACACCCAAGTACCGAAAAATAATATTTAAGTTGTTATTTTATTATTTTATTATTTATCATTTTATATATAATTAGTTATATATAGTAAAACTTTTCTTTTATTCTTTTCTCTAAAGTTACTTATTATATAGATCAACATATTAAGTCCATTACTACCATTATAAGATATAAAAGTAGAATAATAGTAATAATAGTAATAATCTATTATTATTAGTTATAGCTTAAGAAAATTATATATTCCTTAACAAGAGAACTACTATATTATATTAAATTGAAAAAAAAGAAAGAACTAATAAATGTAACTATATATACTATACCACTCTTTCATTATTAATAAAAAAATAAGAATAAGCATAAACTATTATTTTTTAAATAAAGTTATAAAATTAGTATTTTATATTCTTTTTCTAAGAAAAATACTAAAAAGAAGATAAAAGATAACTTATATAATATATATATTATATATATTATATAATAGCTAGGGCAAAAGATAAAAATAAAGTTATTGATTGGCTTTTATATATAAATATTTTGTTATCATTTAAATAGATTTTTTACTCTAATATATAAATATTAAAGGTATTAAAAAAAGAATAGAAAAATATATTACATATTATAGATATAAGAGGAGCAATCATCAATAGAGGTACATATTATATAAGTACATGTTGAGAAAGAGACAGAAGAAAGAGTAGGAATTCCTTTATTTAAGGCTTTAAGTAAGCAAATCAACACTATAATAATAATTATCTGTCATCTCTGTTATATAGTATATATCAATCCTTCATCTTAGATAGTTCAAATATATACTAAATATAATAGTACTAGAATAATCTTACATTGGTTACTATCTAAATAATACACAAATAATAACTCTACCACAATCATACTTTATAAGGTTATAATATAATGATACATTTCGGTCGTATCATGTTAAAAAATGAATAAAAAGTAATATAATTCCAAGTATATAACTTAAGAAAAAGAATAAGTTAAAATAAATAACTTATAAAAATAAAAGAGTTTGGTTAATTCAAGAACCAAAAAAATAAATCAATCCCGATTAAAGGGTGAAAGTATAAAATAATGGTGAGTGAACTAAGTAGTTTATTATAAATTAGTAGAGCTTTGTAAACTTGATAGAACTAAAGATTTAATTGAGGAAGAAAGATGTCTTATTTATACTAATTTCTATCTATCTATCCTAAGTTGATAATTGGCTGAAATCTTGAGTATTAGTAACTTCCACTTGTAACAGTTACTTGCAAGTGTTGCAGTTACTTGTAAATGTTGTAATTACTTGTAGGTGTGCCCCTTACTGGTTTAGATAACATTCACGAGTACATGTAGCAATTATCCTGGTTATCTTTAACAGTTGGTACGGTCTGAATGTAACATAATATTCATAATAAATACTTTTTTATTTGTTGATTAATTATAATAATGAGATATTACTGACGTTGATAATTTATAAGGTGCTAATATATATAATAATAAAATTAATCAAAAGAAAGGAAAAAAAGTGTAACAATAATTTTATCTAGTTATTAATAATGTTAGTTGAGACATACATACTTCTTAGCTCCTCCTATTAAAAACAATTCTATAATAATAATAAGATTATGCTTTATATCCTAGATAAAGTAGGCTACAACCTATAACAAAGAAGTCTAGTATAATAGTAGAATTATGATAAATGGAGATCGACATATAACAACACCTTCTATAAGCTTTTGATATACATATGGACTTTTTTTATTTATTTTTTTATGAGTCTGAATTCAAAGTAGTAAATATGTACATTGCTGTAAAATGCATTTTTATGTCTGGCACAGAAGTATATACTAATTCTTCATATAAGCCAAGCTTAATATTACACAGGAGAACATATATGTACACTACAATATTTTTGTTAATTGTATATTAATGAATATCACAAATGTTGTTATACTTTCTACTATAGAAAATATATGCTACTAATCAATAAACTTTGTAAGTATTTATATTGTCTTTTCGTTTGTGTACTACTGTGAAACTCTATTATACTGTAACGTGCTCATTGTAGTATTTATGGATATGGATTTAACAGGAAAATAAGGTAAAGTTAAAAAAATAATAACAGGATAAGTCTTGTGAGAATCTTTCAGGTGTTTTATTATATGAGAAATAATATTAAGATAAAAAAGATATATGATAATTATTTCTATTACAAGTTTTATATATATGTTTTAGATGTGTATTTTCCTGTATTTGTAGATAATGTTATATGATGTTAAATTGTGTATTATGTGATTATAAATAAACAAGTTATTTTTGACTATTATATTTGTATATTGTTTATAAAGTGTCATTGTGGTTGAATTATTATTTGTGTATTTAGAAAGCAACCAATATGAGATTATTTTAGTGTTTTTTACATTTAGTTTATATTTTAATTATCTGAGATGAAGGATTGATGTGTGTCATATGACACTCATAAGCACTATGTAGGCAGTCTTTATAATATTACAAAATATCAAATATTATTCAGGAAAAGTATTATAGATACCAATTTTTTTCGATCTTCTTCACCAATGTTGTATTACATTTTTTTTTTCGTTCTACTACTTACTAGTTAAACAATAGTCACTAACAAAATTATCTTAAAATATCAAATAGCCGATCAAAGTCAATATAGGAAATATATACAAATCAAGCAGTTTTTGCTCCACTAAATATAAAGCTCTTTAAGAACTCAAACTGTCGAAATGTGCTAAACTTCAGAATAAGTTGTTTGGCTGACATACATTTGTTAGATTAGAGAGCCCTTAACTGAGTACAATTATTCTTAAAGATTACTAATATAATAAAAAAAATCAGTGTATAATATAATTTTATAAATGAGCATATTACTCCCGTTAAGGTGTCAGCACCTCTGCTTGCATTGAAAGTGAAATAAATGAAAATAATAAAATATTATTAAGTCAGTTTCTCCATTCCGTAAATCTCTGTAAAAATAATGAGGATGTAAAAGTTAACGAATATGAAATTAATGGGGATCCTCTGTATGTTAATTTTGGCACCTGAAGAAAGGAAATTATAAAACATGCGCATAAAGTACATATTTATTTGAAAAGAATATGGTTTGAAAAAGCAAAAGTATTTTTATTACAGAGTCATGAAGTATATGTTAACAGTAGAAAAAAGAAAAATCGAGCGAGAAGAAAAAAAAACTATCAAAATCATGTCTAAAAGTTATTATCTATTGCAATAAAAAATACTTGGCTTGTTTAAGTATTTATAAGTTAATGAACACAATTACCAAAATTAAGGTCGATTTTCATTAGTGGACGCTGACGATAAAAAGCATTACTAATTATTAAATACTTTCAACAATTAGCAAGAAATATCAACAATTATTAAGTAGTTTTTATAATTATTAGACATCATTAAACATTATAGTAAATACTTAGTATAAATAGTATCGTATCAATTAAATAATTTCAGCTTAGCATTTTATCTTTATACTTTTTCATAATAGAATACTTTCATATCCACTTTTTGGAAAGTTAACCCAACTCATATTTCCAAGTGAATTTTCCTCTTTTGCGGTTTGGCATAACATAAGTTCAAAATAGGTTCTACACCCACCACTTTTCCCTCATAGAATTATAAGTCTTAGCCTCTTCTTTTTTTTGAGTGAAAATTGGATCAATTCCCAATATTATTTTAATCAACAGGTTTTAAGTCTAACCTTTTAGTTAACCCAATTGTATCGCTAACCATTGTAAACTCCCAAATTTAACAATACTGTATGTATAAACTTATTTAAGTCAAACCAGCACCGAAGAATATTGCCACGTCCCCCCAAACTACCCTCTCCGAACAACTTGGTTCATCCATCTGCCGACCTATTGCTTTAGTCTAATCATTTTATACCTGTCATCTAAGTAAAACAACTACACAGCCTCACATAAAACATAGGATAGAAAAAGTATTAAGATATCAATGTAAAAAAAACGCTCTTCTATAAATCCCCTTTATTTTATTAAATACTTATTATCCAACATATAACATACATGGCAAATTTTATTAGTAAACAATTTTATCCTACCTCTTATTCTTTTTTTCTATCACTTTTTCTAAGCTAATCAAATACGTACACCGTGTCTTTTATTATTTATAGCACCGTTGTCGCCATGTCACCAAGGTAATAGTCGTTGTCGAATTAATGAAAACTGTATCGCTTGCCCTCCAGTTGATCGTCCTATAAAAATGCCCTACTTTTACCCCCAACCAGATACAGTTTTCCATTGGACTTGTTCATCGTATCTATATATCATAGAGAATAAAAAGTGTTCTAGTCATTAGTATATAAAGCACGTTGTCTTTATTATTACCGTTGTCGCCATATCACCAAGGTAATCGTCGTCGTCGAATCGATGAAAACTGTATCGCTTGCCCTCCAGTTGATCGTCCTACAAAAATGCCCTACTTTTACCCCCAACCAGATACAGTTTTCCATTGGTCTTGTTCATCGTATCTATATATCATAGAGAATAAAAAGTGTTCTAGTCATTAGTATATAAAACACGTTGTCTTTATTATTACCGTTGTCGCCATGTCACCAAGGTAATCGTCGTTGTCGAATCGATGAAAACTGTATCGCTTGCCCTCCAGTTGATTGTCCTACAAAAATGCCCTATCCTTACCCCCAACCAGATACAGCTTTCCATTAGATTTGTTCATCGTATCTATATTTTAAAAAAATCAAAAGGAAATAAAGTAAAGAATCCTATTCTTTTCGACTCATTGACGTCCACGCACTTAGTTTTACTCCTTCACTTAGACTCTTCACTTTCACATACTCACTCTCACTCTCATTCCGTTGCCAGCACCCTTTCACTTCTATTTATTTGCTCCCACCGAATTGCTTCAGCATACTCATATACACCAATTATGTTCTATGCATATACTTACACACAGCTATTTAC